ACACTGAAACCACTGAATTTGAGGAGACCCCGAGGCCGGTGCAGCAGGTCAGGAAAGCTGGGGAAAACATTTCCCTTTGAATTAAGAGCTTTGTGTCTTGATACGCTCCTTCATCGCGTGCAGGCAGAGATATTATAAAGGATACAGTCGAAAGCTGTCGCTGCCAGCCAGGCTCGTCAGGCTGAAAAGAGACATTCTGGAACCACTGCATTAATATAACCTGGGGCAAGTTTTGCCGTCAACTGGTTAATTGCTGAAGTTGATTGATGCAGCCCCGGATGAGCAACAGCTTCTTGCAGCAGCAGCAGACGGAGACGGAGCAGCGAGCGCCCGCGTGCCCGGCCACCAGCACCTCTGTCCTGACGTCCGACCGACACCTGAGACCAAGACGTGGTTTGGAGGGGACCTGCCCTGGCACTCATTCCTTCTTAAGCATAAACGAGCTTCAAGAGTAATTGTTCAATTCTAATTTCTGGCACAAAGTGCTTTGTTGGGATGAACATGATTTAGTTTTGTTGCTTGGAGAGTTACCGTGAAATCCGTTTGGAAGAAAATATTTAGTTTTCACTCATTTGAATCCCGCGTTTGGATAAAATGCCAAATTTCAGAGCAAGGATAGGGAATGACCTTCCCAGGCAGAGAGGAGTAACTTCCTTCTACATCAAATGGACTCTTCTTAACAGGAGTTAACAGGAGAAATGCTCTAGGCCAAAGATCATTCCCAAAGTTTTGGGGAGAATGAATGACGGAACTTCCAAGACCTTATGGCCGGATCATGTTAACTGCAAGCAAAGCCAGTCTGAGCAGACCTGCTGGAGACAAAGCAAGCAATAGGTTCCTGACTGACCTAGTCCAAGTTCCTCAGTCATCGGACTCTCACACTCAACCCAGCCACATGCTCAACCCTGCCAGCTCCCTGTTCACCCCCAACAGGAAGGGATGCCACGAACACTTGCACAAAATTCCAAACTTCTAAAATGTCCATCTTAATTAAATTAGCTGTCTCCATGCGGTTCTTTGCATCTGGGCGATTTCCCCTCCGGTGCTGGAGGAGCAGAAGGAAACCAAGAGAGAAATGCTCAGTGACTCGGGATGACAACTGTGCTCTTAAAGACTTAAAGCTCCTGGCAGAGCAGTTGGCCTGCCAAAAAACTGCTGCTGACAATATCCTTTTTATTCCCGGGCCCCAACTCGGCTGTCTGCGAACCTGACCGGCTCCTGCAATTGATTTCAGCAAGGGCCCTGCTCGCCCCGGGCATTTGCCTCAATCAGTCAGGCTGCTCCCAGGCTGGTCCTTCCCTCCTCAGCGGCCCAGACGGAGCCGCGATCCCGGCAGGATCACAGAGCCATTTTGCGAGAGGAAAGTCGAGACGTCGACGAGGCGCCAGGAGATCTGGTTCGGTGCTGATGCTCCCGATGGGCCTCGGGCTGCGCGGGACGGGACTCGCTGCTGACGGCGAGTGCACGGTGAGTGCCGGTCTGCACGGAACCCGCTGCCGGCGCCTGGGCCCGCGCGCCAGCAACGGGAGCTCCCGCCGGCTGTTAACCAACCCACGGGCCAGTTTTCTAAAGGAATCGGCTGCTTTGATTAACGCGGCTGTTTCACGAGAAAGCTGCACATCTGACCAGAAAACACCAAGCAAACGTAAACGCTTGCTTAACGCAGGCATGCGCGTCCAGGGAGGCTGTGGAGTCTCCTTCTCTGGAGATCTTCCAAACCCACCTGGATGCCACCCTGTGCCACGTGCTCTAGGTGTCCCTGCTGGAGCAGGGGGGCTGGACTAGATGAGCTCTAGAGGTCCCTTCCAACCTCAACCATTCTGTGATTCTGTCATTCTGTGATTTTTAATTGTTTCTTTGAAACAGCAACCTCCAGTGTTTGACGTGGAGCTTTTATAACCCGAAGGCAAAGTTGCTCCTTGGGTGAATGGGGAAAGGCAAGGACCATCCCCAGGTGGTGCCATCTCCATTCAGGACAGGCCTGGGATTGCAGCGCTGTCTTTTCCAGCTGCATTCGTGGTCAGGGGAGATGCTCAGTGGAAATGGGAGCTGAGGGACGGGGGAGCCATGGGGACACTGAGGCAGGGCCTGGAGGCTGCGGGGCTGCGGGAGGAGGCCGCGCGGGCCGCGCTCCTGCGACGGGCGCATGCACTGGCACCGCTCCTGCGCGCGGGAAGGCCTCCAAGCCGTTACCTAATCTTCTCCTCCGTGATCTCACTTACTCCAGAACACAGAAAGCCCAGCTATGAAATCACACTTTATTTCTTTCAGCCTCGAAGGAAGCATTCGGGCACCCGAAATGCACCCCATGAGCACGGCGGGCTCAGCGAGCTGCCCCCGTCCTGCGAAGGCTGCAGCCCCCTCGGCCGCAGCCCGCGGCGCGGGCACAGCTCCCACACAGGGCTGCCACCCTGCACGTCCCAGTGGGGTCCCCTTGCAGGAGGGGACAACCACAAAGCTCAGGGCGGGGGGCACCAACAAACTTTGCCAGGGAATGCACAAGAGCACCTTGCACAGGGAGGTGGGGATGAACTTTGCCAGGAGCAGGGGTGCACCTTGCAGGGGGTGCACCCTGCAGGGAGATCCTCAGGGGTGTACCTAGGAGATGCACCCTGCGGGGGGGGCACCCCATAGGGGGATGCATCATGTGGGAAAATGCACCCCATAGGTGGATGCACCATGCAGTGGGGTGCACCACGCACGGAGGGGGCACCATGTGAGGGGATAAACATCGAAGGGGATGCACCATGCAGGGAGATGCACCCTACAGGGGGATGCCCTGTGCAAGGGGATGCACCATGCAGTGGGGTGCACCTGAAAGGAAGATGCACCATGCAGTGGGTGCACCCCACAGAGGGATGCACCCCGCAGGAGGATGCAGCATGCAAGGGGTGCACCCCATGGGGGGATGCACCATGCAAGGGGTGCAGCCCACGGGGGGATGCACCATGCAGGGGGTGCAGCCCACGGGGGGATGCACCCCACAGGGGGATGCAGCATGCAGCGGGTGCACCCCGCAGCAGGGCGCAGCTCCCAGCTCGGCTCCCCTTC